CTGCATCAATGGTACAAACATCTCCTCAAGGAGCCAGCTCCTACTGCTCAGGTAGAAGTCCAAATGGATATGCTTGTTTGATTTTGATTGTGGCTGTGAGTTCATACTGAAAATGTGGATATATAGAAATTTTTCCTTTTCCAGATTACTTTAGAATCTGCAATTTAATAGCTGCTCCACTATTTGAGTCAGATTTCCATACGAATTTTAAAAATTATATTGTTGAATTCATTGGGAGATCAGAGTTAGTACTTTTACATTGTTTCCTTTATTTCTTAGATGTTATTATCCGTGATCTTGATTGCATTCCCTTTAAAATTTTAAACCCCTTAGAGTGTGCTATACCATATGTGTATGGAGCAAGATACTATGTGGTATGAGTACCACATGAGAACACAGCAGTGTATCAGAGAAGATGTACTACTTATGAATTTCTGCAGTCTGTAGACAAAAGAAACTATCTATGTTCCTGCACAATATTTTGTTCTCCTGTAATTAAATATGAAAAATACATTTCTTAGAAATTACAAGGAATAGAAATTGATCCGTAGGGATTTCACACTTTATTAACATGTGAGAAGAAAACCTTGAGAAAATGTGATTGTGATTTGAAACTAGTGCTATTTACTGGTGTAACAAGCAGAGTAACTTAGTTTCCTTATTAAGGACCTGAAATTCCAAGTTTTGTTTCTAACATGAATATTTTGAGCACTTTTTCAGGAAGATGTTCATAGCCTGTTTTTGTAAGAACTTTTTGGTAAGTCTAGTGTTGGCTCAGATATGTAAAACGTCGTTGCCAATATGTCCAATGATAGGTGACAGCCACAAAACCACCTTCCATACTTTGTTTCCTCTTCATTGAACTTCTAATTTCACTATTCTCAAATGAAGAATAACCTTTTTCACAATGGTACATTCAAACCTTTAGTGCCTATAGGGATGGTATTTTCAGGTGTGGCAGCTATGCTGGTTCCATTGCTTATCTCCATTTAGTCTCAGCTTCCAACCGTAAACTTAACCTAGACACTTTGCTGTGTTGACGCTACTGCCCTTGTAATCCCTTCTCTAGCCACCTTACTTAGTAGAATCAGTGGGATTTTCTTTTGTTCACTGAAATGAAAGCAGGGCTGTTCATTATAGAAGACTTCATCTTGCCAGCTTTGGCAATCAAAACGTTAATCTACGTTAAACACCTAGGTTCTTTCTAGTCCCTGGAGTGAGACAGGAAGGCAGAGGGCAGTTACATCTTAAGGTAGGTTTAATTCAGGTAAGGTGTTATGAGGTATACAGATCTGTGCTAGGGATAGCTTTTCCATTAAAAAACTGGTCATATGATGGATTATGCAAAAGATACCCAGTTGCAAGGAAGGAAGTCGTAAGTGGTTCTGAGTAAAGTGTCATGTTTGCTTTGGTTGTTTTTTTTCGTGGTTACTCAGCATGGATACAAGGGGCTATTATCTATACCTTCTGACCAGAAATTAACTCTATGACAGCAGGGGAAATTGCAGGAAGAGTTATGTGCAAAGGAGAATGTATGAAGTCTGTTAAATGAGTCCAGAATAATATTATAGAAGATAGTGGGGGAAGAAGGAGATAGCATTTGCTTGTGTATTTATTGCAGATTGATGGAGAAAACACAGGAGACTTTTTTGACACATATGCGGCTGCATTTATACCCGATACAGAAACAAACCGAACAGTGTATATATCTGTCTGTGATGATGATCTTCCAGAGGCTGATGAGACATTCACATTTTACTTGACACTACCAGTAAGTCTCAATTTTTAATTTATCTGTTCCCCAGAAAACAGTGGGTAGTCTGACATAAACGAGTGGTATTCCATAGATTTCAATGCAGTCGTACTGCTTGTGAGACTGAATCCTAATAGGTAAGAGCTAAAATCTGGGCACTAGCCAGCACGGTGCTTACTGCTCTTTAGAAGGTTTTGCCATTCCTATGTGATGTTGCTGTGCAGTATAGACATGGTCTGAAACTTTAGTGGGCACTGCATTCAGCTGTGGACATTTGAAGGTGTACCCCAAAGAGTTAGATTGTGAAGACTTTCCTGTTTTCCTGCATAGACTATACCTGGAAGAGAGGGTAGAAGTAGCAAAAGAAATAGGAGGATTTCCAGTCCTCCAGAAGCAGAGGGTAAACAAGACTTATCTAAAAACGAGCAAACAATTTTTTAAATACTTACCAATAAATCTCTTCATATTGTTCTGTCTCACAGGAGTCATGCTACAAGAGAGGGGTTCACATTCACTTTTATTTTAGGTTACAGTTCATGACTAAGTTTGATATCAATTCAGTAAAGATAAATTTTATATTTTATTGCCAATTATTACACATCTCAGGGGATGTTTGCAGTGAATATAAAAGTGCATATTTTCCCTTCCTTCTTCCTTTGAGTTGTAAATGTAGCTCATTTTTACAACACTGTAAAGATTTGTTTCCTTTAGCTGATATCTCAGCATAATAGCTTCAAAGTTTCAGTTTTATACTAATGTTAGGAAAAAAAGAACAACTTTGGAGTTCCTGGCAGTGCTACATGCTTCATAACTACTTCCCTTTTGCTATGGGGTCATTAATAGTTTGCCAAACTATGATTAATCATTTACAAAATTTGTTTCAAGCGCTTTGTTGTTGACTGTATAGGGTGTATTTCCTCAGTAATTAAGAATTATTTTGGTGCATTCTATTGCTTTAAATAATTTCCATTGTAATATATAATAAAAAGATATACAATTTGTCATAGGCTAATATTTATTCTTAAAAGAGTAAAATCAAAATGTGTATTTTTTGCCCATCACCATATCTAATATCTTATTTTGTTTTGTTAATTTTAGAAACCATCTGCAAGGATAAAGCTTGGCTCACCCAAATCTGTCACTGTAACAATCTTATCAAATGACAATGCCTTTGGAATAATTTCTTTTAACATGGTATGGCTTTTTATATGGTATATATGAAAATTTTAGAAAGCATAAAGGTGAAATTTTCAAAGATGCTGGTTAGTTGTTCAACTGAATCTCTAGAAAACCGCTTGAGTTACATCTTTGAAAACATCTCTAGAGGTAATTCATACATATGTATGTAATTCGTACATATATACAGCTATAATACTTCTGTAAGCTTTTAGGTGTTGAGATGTAGCCTAAGACCCTCACACTTGTATGAATATCTATGTTGCTCATCTTAAATATACAACTTCTAAAAAGTTGTTCAGTCTCACTGCCCCTCATTTATAAGTCAAGATGCTACTATAGTATGGAAGAAGGGAGTAATATAGGAAAGGTAAAGTTGTGATTTGGAAATCTTGATAATATATATATTTTCCCATCTTCAGTGAGCAATTTTATACTTAACTCTCAAGCTGAATGAACACTGGCATGATCTATGCATTGTATAACACCTTCTGCGATAAGATGCTGGTGTGATTCCAGTGGTGTGGAGGATATTTGCAGTATTACAGAGCTTGTGTTAGTAGAAAGAGATGCTATACTTTATTGCCAGCATTATGGCAATATAGTTTTTGTAGAGGACTTCCCTGAAAAAGCACAAGAACATGAGAAATTGTACAGTACACTGCAGTACTAAGCCATGCTGCTCCCTGAATTAGTATAATTCTTTGAAAACTTTCACTTAAAACAGTTTGATAGACAGAGTCTGTTTATAGCTAGTTATCTAATAAATGACTTTTTAATGGAGAAAAAATATTTTTAATGGGGTTAGGAGCTCCTATATATACCAGGGCTAATATGCCAGTGCTTTGTGTATATTGACTATGTTAATTTACAAAACAACCCCCACCCTACTTGCATAATTTATGATAATTTTTTAATCTGAAATCTTTCAAGCTTTTTATTAGCTGAACTAATTGGTTGCTAGGAAATGTATGCCATCAGTGGACTGGTTTGCAGATTGGATTAACTTGTCTGTGGGAGTTTGGTATTTCTATGGTAACAGTTTCTTCCTTCTGCTGTGATATTTGATCTGTGCCTGATTGCCTGTCCCTTTTCTTCCTCATTAGTCCGCCTTAATCACAGTGAATGAGCCCAGGGGCAGAAATGAGTTTGTGCCTCTCACTCTAATTAGGGAGAGGGGAACCTATGGGACGGTCATCGTAACTTTTGAGGTGAGTTTATCAAAAAGGCTTCATACCTTAGTCTGTTGGATGAAACTGTGAGGCCATAATAATAACTTATCAAAGTGTTTATAAAAGTGAAAGAGGGGAAAAAAAATATGTCTACATTTGTTAAACCTGTTTCATATAATGGAAGGATTTTGCCTGTTAAATGGAAATATTTTAATTTTCTGACTTTAATTTGAGGAAAAATGAAGAGATATTAGAGAAAACTGAGTATTCTCTGTCATTTAGGAAGATATTTGAGGCAGCGTTAGTTAGTATTACTAGAAAACAATGTGTATGAATTGTGTAAGAAATGTCTTATTTAATATTTCTTTAAATTTTTTCTATGTTTTACAAATAAACATCTGAGTGAGTCTTTAATGCTTGTGCCAACTTTGAACATGTTAAGTACGAGAGCTCAATATTTAGTGAAATTCTGTATCTGTAAGACTGCAGTTTGAATCCCCAGAAACTAAACCACTCATGTTGAATATTTAGGCCATTATTTATGTACTTGGTTTGAATGTGATACAGTTATTGCCTTTATTGGTTTGTTTTTTATTTTTTTATCTAGCTCCGATTCTATTACATACTTTAAAATATATAAATTCTTTCATATGGATATTTCTTTATCAGTTTTCTGGTCTTACACATCATCAAGCATTTAATCTAGACCTGTCAAAATCTGAAAAGATTCGTACTGGATTTTATTGCATACTAAATATAACATGCCTAGTTAAAGCACAGAATGAGATTCTCTGTGTAATTTGTTGCAGATCTGTTTGTTTTAAGGTCCAATAAATTTTACTATCTGCACAATTAATCAGGTCCATCTCACAGTGTGTTTTATATACATATGTTGAAATAAATTTACAAGATTTTCTAAAAAAAATCACCATATTGCCTCTAAGTGGCTTCCTAATCTTTTAGGTTTCAGTATTAAATGTAATATCCTTAATATCACAAGTCAAGATAGAAAGGACACAAACCCAGTAACTGCTATTATTTTGTTTTGGAACTTATTATGAAATACTAGTGATTTAAAGTAAATTAGTATGGATATCCTTTCTGTTATGTGAAAGAGTCAATTATGCATCAGTAGATACCAAAGAGTCCTCATAGGCTTATATGGAAGCAGTTTTCTTCCTCTTTTTCTGGCAATACATAATTTCTTCGGAGTGGTTACTCTGACTTACTCCATTTGCCAAAGAAGAGCAGATTTTCACAACTGAATGTATGTGCCTGTGAGCAAGAGGTGACTGAACAGATAGTAGTTTGTTATGCATGTCACACACTGTATATTGACTATTGTACTTGTACTAGATTTGTATTCCTGTTTTATATATTTCTTATCGTAAAAATCAATTCTTTGCAGATAGAAGAGGGACCAAACCCAGCTGAAGAAGACTTAAGTCCAACTAGGGGAAATATTACATTTACCCCTGGGAGATCAATGCTGATTTATAATTTAACAGTGCTTGATGACCAGGTAAGAACAAGCTGACTTCATTTTTGGTTTGGATATGTAGAAGGTTAACTGCTGTTCTGGAGAGACTTAGATGCTTGGTTTAAATAAGGTTAAAAGTGCTTCTACTTAATAAAGTGATGTTAAATTTTGGCTCTATGAGCTCTCATTTTCACTCCTTCTAATGCCACCTCTGTAATTCTCATCAGTGAATATTTTAGTTTCTGAATATATCCTGGCTGCTCTGACTAGACCATCTATTAGGTGCTACTGCAGTGAAGGTATAAATAATCAGGAAAGCATTATGCTTTTTTTTTCAGATGGAATATTGAGGTCCTTGTTGTATGGCCAAAGATGATATTCTTGAACTAGATATAGATTTATCTATTAGACTCCTTTCTATATTTGACTTTTCTATATTTCTTTTTAAATGTGCTCTGCTTTTCCCTAATTGTCTGCCTTGCACATTCAGGTTATGTTTGCATAATGAACTCAGGTTCTCCTTTTTGTCTTTATTAATTGTTTAGGCAAAAGGAACCTAATCATAACATTGCTTACATGATGCATTTTTTTATTACATCCTCAGTGATGCCTGTGGAGCTCCTCTGCCTTTGGTTAACAATGCATAAGAATCCAGTTCAATCTTTGTTAACTTGATTGGCTCTCATTCATGTGAAGAGCAGACCTGTTATGTTTGCTACTAAAGAAAGAATATAACACAGTGAATATTCACAGAGAAAAGATAACTTGAAAAAATTTGTATGTTTTTATATAGATATGTTTCAGGGTAGAAACATATTTTAAAAAATACTTCTAAAAATAGATGAGAAACAGGCAATCTTGTGAAGAGCATGACTGATGATAATTAAAAATTTTCAATTTTTAGATTGGTCTTTAAAAAAAAAAGTTTATATGTTGTAAGCCTTTCTATTTCAGAGTATACAAAACATATTATTCTACTTTTCAAATTGTGATTTTCATTTTTCTTACACATGCTTTTCTTTTCTGTTTTTTTTTTTTTTAATTTATAATGAGGATGAGAGGGAAAATAGAGGCACCAAAATAAGTAGATGTGGTACAGAACAACTTAATGAGGAAATTCACAAGAAAAAATTAATAGCAAAAAAGGTGCCTGTTTCAGAAGTGAGCAACTTTAAAGCAATTTTTTGCATATTTCTGTTAGTTATAAAAAGTGGTTTTCCACATCTGTACTGATATTTTTAATGTTAAGAGACTGTGCCAGACTGGTGTGTAAACACATCTCTTTCAGATCACATGTACTATTTCTGTGACTTATGCACAGAAAGAAATCATTGGGCATTTTGGGAGGATGTGATTTCTTTTTCTTTTGAGAAATGCTCTCAAAGTTCCGTTTCTCAAAGTTTGATCAGTACAGGTGTGGCTGGTCCACTTAGTGAAAATCTTCCACAGCCATATATGAAAGATTAATTTTGTGTAAAAAACCTTTATTGATGATGGTGATGATGGAATTCACAAGAATCCAATGTTACTTTCAGAGTTTGGTTTGAGCTTTTAGGATCTGAAGTTAGGAAAAACAATGAAACAAATGTTTTTCTGAATTGGGTAGCACTTTTCCTACAGAAATTAGGAGACTGCAGATCTGATCTCCACAGCACTACATTTAGAGTAATTTTATTGTATACATTTCCTTTTTTAGTGAGGAATACTGGAAACTTTGTTAAGAGAAAATGAAAGAGGCGAGGCAGCACTGGAAATCCTTTATACTGTTGTCTTTGAAGTTCGACTGGTTTTTTATTGGTCAGTCATGATGCCATTAAGAACTCCAGAATGTCCCATTTATATGAGATATTAAGATGTAAACTACAACAAGACATTCTGACTGTCTCTTAAACGTATATTTTTATGATGCAAGATGGTATATTAATTAGTGAAGTAAACGAAATGTAAGTTAGCGTCTATTCTAATAAGGTAAAACAACTTCTGTGTGTATATATATATACACACACACTGTTTCTCAGTACAGGAAAGAGGTGACTGAGAGCTTCCAGATCTCACGTTGACAAAAAAACCGGCATCAGTCAACAACATTATACAAGTTTAATTGCCACAAGCCAAACAAGGGACAGAATTGGCATCAGCTATAAAGGCAGTTGCCCACTCTCTTAGCCCTAGAAAAGGATCTGAGGGTGGCCAATTAACAAATGAGTGTCAAAGAGAAGAAATATTGGACAGCAGGGTTTTCAGAACTTTTTTAGCTCGGTAAACAAAAGTGCATGAAAAAGATTTGTCAACTTTGTAACAGAGTATTACCATTACCAAAAAGTAAGTAATTTTGTCCTGGAATTCCTCTCAAAAGCAAATAATACTAGTTTCCAGGAGTCCACAGCAAGGATGAGATGCAAAGATCATAAATAATTTTTAAAGGTTTACTTTTTACCTGTATGTATTAATAAAATAATAATATTTTTCAGTTAAATAGGTTTAGCAAATCAAGATCTGGGGAATAAAATGTAGTAATATAATGCAAAAATCTCATCCTTAAGTTCTGTGATTTGCGGTTTATAAGCCATTCTTTATTGTCTGCTGCATCGGATATTGGAGAAAAAATAGCTAAAACTAAAATGTAGTTTTAAACAGTCATCTTGTAGAAATGCCAAAACCTAATTAATTGCTAAGCACCAGAAAACACTTTCTCAGATCCATGACGGAAATTTTCCCTGGGGATTTGGGTGTGTCTGAACGTAGGAAGTGTTCCTTTTCCAGTTGTATAGGAATGGGTGGGCCAAGGTAGGCTGGGTGCGTAAGTTGTTGCTGTATTATCTCAGGCATGCATAGAGGTTAATCAGTATCAACACCAGTAAATCAAGATGTAAATCTCAATAACTGGGAGAAACATTTGTTTCCGAATAGAGGTGACTTCCAAAAGTAGAGTTTGGATTTCCACGTAGTCTCAAGTTGGAAAGATCCAGCCTTTTCTGATTCTTGCCTAGTTTTTGTTTTGCTTTTGTTTGACTTTTCACCTTTTTCATATTGCCAGAGCACAGAAGTATGTTTTAGAAAATGGAAACATTCAATTTTGGGAAGGGATTTTCAGCCAAAGTTAAAAGCTAGACTTCTCTCTTGTTTGTTTTAATATGAAATGAGCTGTCAAGTTTGTATTATTTCCCTTTTCTGCAAAATATATAAAACGTACTTCTCAGTAAGAGCGTATTTGAAATGTGACTTACACTCAGTTGCTAATATTATTTTTCCAGATACCTGAAGATGATGAATTGTTTGTTGTTCATCTGAGGAGCGTGGAGGGAGGAGCTGAAATCAACAACACAAAAAATTCTGTTCAGATTAATATTAAGAAAAATGACAGTCCTGTGCGTTTTGTTCAGAGTGCTTATATGGTGCCTGAGGAAGTTGATGTGGTAACAATTCAAGTGGTTCGTGGTAAGGATGTCAGTGGAAAATTAATTGGACCTGATGAACATGAAGTCTCTGTCAGTTACGCCATCATAACTGGGAATTCAACAGCACATGCACAGCTTAATGTGGACTTCCTAGATCTACAGCCAAATACAACTATTGTTTTCCCACCTCTAGTTCATGAAACATGTATGAAATTTAAGATCCTTGATGATGCCATACCAGAAATTGCTGAGACCTTTCAGATTGTGCTTCTTAAGGACACTTTGCAGGGAGATGCTGTTTTGGTTAATCCATCTGTTGTTCATGTCACCATCCAACCGAATGATAAACCCTATGGAGTACTATCAATCAACAGTATCTTGTTTGCTCAGACTGTTATCATTGATGAAGACCAAATTTCAAGGTACTACTGATCTTCAAATCTAGTATCTAGTCAGTTTAAGAGATTTGTTTGGCATTGTTAAGCATCCTTATAATTACTTGAAAGTAATTATAAAATCACTACTGAAAATATAATCTAGAAATCACTTAGTGTGTTGTTATTATTATCAGTTATATCTACAAAGATTTCAAGGAAGTGGGAATGTCTAATTATACAGGAAGTATTTTAATATTTATGAACTGTATGTAAAAACTGTAAATATTTAATCACATTATCAGAATACTGAAAAACCCTTAATCTAAAGGCAGGATCAATGAAGTCGTGATGCTGCCACATACCAGTTCATACAAGTGGGAAATAGATTTCTGGCTTCCTTCTCGGGTAAATCTTTGTATTTACTGTATATAAAATCAGTCTCTGGTTAAAAAAAAGGTGTTGAGTGTCTCCCGTGAAATACTTACCTTAAGCTTAAAAATAAGTTAAATATTTGTAATTTTACAGAGAGATTAAACTCAAAGCTCTGTACAGATTTTACAAGCAGGACTGATACACAATATTGACAGTCTCAATAAAAATATCCACTGCTAGCTACTGATGGTAGTTCACCCCAGAGAAACAGGTAACTCATCAAGCTATCATACTATAAACAATTTTGAAAGAATATTTTCTAGTATGTAGAGCCCAGCACTTCAGTATTCATCTTTCCTTCTCATACACAATAAAGAAATAAATCTTGCTTTCTAAGTTTTTGTAAGTCATGATTCCCAGACTTCTTGTGGTAGTCATGTGCTTGTCAGATGCAGCAAACATGATGTTTCCAGTATCACAAATACCGCTAACTTTTCAGTAGAGAGGCAGATAGTTTATTCAGAATCCTTATTTAAATGATCATTCCTGCCAACTGTACTTTGATAGAGTTTATAAAATGGTGTAGAATATTAATAGAGAAAAAGTTTTCTGAAATTTGACATGTGTTTTTCGAGGCAAATGTAGAACATGCCAAGTCTCCACTTCTCAGTATCTTTCTCACTGTCAACAAAGTAAGTTCTAACAAATATCTTTAGAGACATTACAGAGAGCTCATGGATAAGCACTGTAGGAAGTCTTATGCGTGTGTTGTGATTTCTCAAACTTTAAGCCCTGACTCAAATGTTAGTTGTAGCAGTTAACATTTATTCCACTGAAGTCAGTGTAAATCTTTCAGGAAATCGATAAGTAAGCAAGGCAATATTAATTACAATTTTGTATTGTGGGGTTTTATTTTCATTCAAAACCATAGGTTTGAAGGGATCGCGATTGTAAGAAATGGTGGAACACATGGAAATGTTTCTGTTGCCTGGCTTATAATCCGAAATAGCAGTGATCCCTCACCTGTGACTGCAGACCTCATTCCAGAGGCCGGGGAGATATGTTTTGATCAAGGACAGATGCTGGTGACGCTTCCTCTGAACATTGTGAATGATGATATACCAGAAGAGGCAGAGCCTTATCTTCTGAAACTCTTAGCTCATACAATACAGGGAGGTGCAGAAGTCAGTGAACCATCTGAGGTAAGTTTGCTTCTAGAATTCTTTTGGAGAAGGTAATAATAGGTAATAATTAGAGAGTTTACCAGTTTTGATAACATTGATTGATTGGCTAAACTGGCTAAAGGGTTTGGGCTTGAATATAAATCAAACAAATTAATTCTTAATATTATCTTAATATATAGAGCTATACACAAAGTATTTGGCTTAGTATATTATACAAAGCCAGACCTTTTTAATACGGTAACATTCAGCTTAGCTTATTCCCAACATACATAGCATTGCATAAATGCTGTCCTGAGTGACTGCTTGCTAAGAGAAGGCAGGAGAATTATTTTCGCTTGCTCATTTGCTGTCTTAATGATCATTGGAATGTTTTACACAGAGTAACAGCTTCAAGAGGAGGGGTTGGTGATTAAGACTGTAACCTCTGAACTGTTAAATAAAGGGTGGCTAGCATTGCTGACACAGTTTTGTGACTCAAGTCCCTACTTTGTTTTTCTTAAAAATGGTTGGAATGAACTTGGTGAATAAAATGAAATTTTTCACAATCTGAAACATTTTTTGCTGAACCAAAAAAGCAGTTATTCAAAGCTCATTGTGCACATGGATGATGCATAGTGGGAAAGTTGCCACTGTCAGCGTTGTGCTGCTTGTGTACAAAGAATACTTTGGGGCTGTCAATCTGATTACTTTCCTGAGTGCCAATTCACTAAGGAGAAAAATGTATGGTGACAGTCGGGACATGCTTTCTTAAAAGCATGAAAACTACGGTGTATAGTAACTGTAGCATAAAGTAAGTGATGCTGTTTTCTGTTTTGCAGCTTCTGTTTTACATTCAGGACAGTGATGATGTTTATGGCCTAATAAAATTTTGTCCTTTGGAGAATCAGAAGATTGAAAGTAATCCAACGGGACGCTTTTTATCCTTGAGTTTTGCAAGGGAGAGAGGAACAGTTGGAGATGTGCAGTTGGTTTATACTGCACTGTATATTCCAGCTGGAGCTCTGGATCCTGAGAGGGCGAAAGATGGCATTCTAAATATGTCTAGAAGAAGCATTCTTATGTTTCCAGAAGGAAAAACACAAGATACTTTAAATATACCAATAAGAAATGATGCATTTCTTCAAAATGGTGCTCATTTCCTCATACAGGTATCTCAGTTGTGTTTTGGGGTGGTTTTTTAGCCCATGTAATATAAAGGATAGAATTTTGTAGTGGCTTCTTCCCTTTTAATTGAATTAAAATGACTCTACCTGTTAAAAAAAAAAAAAAGAAAAAAGTTATTAGCTCTGTAGCTAGGAAAACTTTCTTATTTAGAGACAGCTTCCATAAATATGCCATAACGAGCTCTATTCCTAATCACTATTTATTAATTACACCATTTTTTAAAAATAGATTGTTTTAACAGGATTCAGGTATTATTCATGGAATTTAACAAAATAAGATCAATGTTGCAGAAGTTAGTTACCTTTTGAGGTATGTTCCTCTGTCTACCCCTTGGCTTTCAGTTTAACCAATTTAAGGTTCTTAAAATTGAATTACAGAAGCATGACAAATATTAGAAATGACAAGCAAGTAAATATAAATTAAAAATAGTCAAACATATGTTTCATTTATGTATTAATTTGGCCAGAGAACTTGAAAAGTATTTTTTCCAGTTTTCTCTGTTTAGTGTTCCTTGCTGCCCCTTTGGGGTTTTTTCCTCTTTTTTTTTCTATCTAAATTTGTAAGAAGGGAACTTCTGTCATTGCTAATTAAAACTGGCTAGAAAAATTCACTAAAAATCTGTTTTTGACAGCAAACTGGATTTTGAGCAAAAATATTTACAGAAAGAATTTCCACATTCCAATGAGGGCATTCATTTTTCACTGGAGAAAACCAAGTTTGCTTACATTTTAGCAAGATATTGTTCAGATATACTGCTGTGGAGGATCCTGGGCATTGTCATCAGTATTCGTTATGATTATTTTCTCATCTGCAGTTAAGACTGCCCCGTCATCTCTACTTCCTGTGATTAACTGTGCCACTCTGGTCATCTGGGATGAAGAGCCCAGGTAGCGATCTTGATACACAGACAAAGGGATGACTTGGCACAACCAAAGCACAAATCAGAGAGGCATTTCTTAGTTCCTTTTAATCTTTTAATTTTAAGTCAGATGTCTTTAGAGTTTTCAAATGAAGATGTTGATATTAAATCCATAGATTTAAAATTTGCCAGGTTTTGTCTTTAACTGTCGGCCTACTAAAGATGTTTTAATTACTTCTGGGACCTTGGAAAGATTTCTTCCCTCCACCTCCTTCTCCCCACATTTTCTTGAAAAAAAAAAAAAAAGGAAACAAAAATTGTTGCCAGAATTACTGTTTTACTAGTATGCAATTTTTGGCATTCACAGTTAGATAGGGAATTGCGTTCTGGAATACTAGAGTAGGTTAGTATGTTTTACATCTGCACAAGATCTGAAAGATCTACAGAAGAACTGAAATATCTGATTCCCCCTTTTAAGTGATACATTATAAATAACATTGCAATGTAGACTATGGACAAGAGACACATATGATAAGTATTTCAGAATGCAGGCACTTTGCCCGGCTTTTCAAACTGCGGATTCCAGGGAGGCGGGCGGGGGGTGTGAATGTTCTGTACTTTCTCCATGAACCATAAAAATCTTTTTGTTTGAATAAACAAATCAGAGGGGCTTTCCAGCACAGAAAATTCATTTAGAAACTCATAGAGAAGGAAGAAAAATACCCCTATTTATCACTATGACAATCCTCCTACATTGTGAATAAACGATAATCTCAGTGAACATGTTTAGAATGCGAAGATTACAGAGTTTGTACTAGGCACAATAAAGGATCAACTCAGGAATCAGGGGAGGAGGATGGAGGAGGAAATGAAGCTTAAACACAACTAGAGAATGTGTAGAGGAACTGGAAAAGTGAGATTAACATTCTTCAGTGACATCTTCAATTAAATAACCTACTGTAGTCTAAGGTGCAATTTTTGGTATGGACAGGAAGATTAACTAATTTAATAAACTACTCGTCATTATTATTCAATTCACAGTGCATTCTTTTTTCCTCATGAGCTGATTTGCTTTAAAAGGAAACACTGAACTAAAAAATAATTTCTTGGTTCTTTGTTAATTATTACTTTAATCTCAAAGTTATTATCCAGGATGAGAAGCACTTAATAAACTGAATTGTTTCAGCTGTGTAGTATTTCAGAAACTTTACTGAGCTAACAACCACACAGTGGTCCACCTGCATACTGTTCATTCCAGGATCAGGACCTACTCTAAAAGAAAGCTTAGAAAACAAGCGAAACATCTGTTCCTCCGACTCTCAATAAGTAGCTGGTATGGTTGAGAATCAATTACTGAATACAGTATTTGTAAAACAGTTCCATCTGTCATCAAATAAAATGTGCATGAATATTTTTGTGTGTTACTCAAGCAATGGTAAAGCAAAGTATGGTATAACCCAAGTATTTTATATAGATTGGTTTTAAGAATTGAAGGGCTTTAATACTCATCAATTGATATGGTGATTCATGATCACTATATGGATTTAAATAAGACCACTTTTCCCTCCTCCAGTAAAGCCTTACTATATGATAACATAGGAAAACTCCAAGCAAAAAACATCCTTGTGGGAGTTAAAGGTGGTTGTTATTGGGGGTTCATGCCCCAGTGAAATGTTTGCAGAAGTATATGCCAATCAGTTATGGAAACATTTATTATAATGATGCATGTAAACAGAATCACATGGTATAAATTATATTTGAAAGAAATATTTAAACAGGCAAGTCCTGCTCTCCTTACTATGTCTGTACTGCTGCTGGGTTTAGTGAGTCCCATTCAAAGAAAGGGTAAACATTTTTCTATTTCTTCTTAGCATCCATAAACCATCAGAAATACGGTAACAGAAGCGGAGACTACGGTTTTGAAATACTCTACTGATTTTCAGTTCTGAAGGCAATTCTAATGTATTAGTTGTTATAAATGGAGAAGTCCTTAAAGTAGAAGGTTGGATCATTCTTTGGCCTCTTCAAAGGCTGTAAATTATTACGGTTCCAGTGACTTCAGCAGATTTTTACCAATGCGTGGCACAAAAAATGAAGTTAGGACAATAGCTTGGGCCACTTGTCAAATCAGTACTGTTATTCATAGGTCTAGTAATGAATCGCTGATCTAGAAGGTTCATTCTCCCTCTATGTACATTTAGTTATGTACACGAACATGATTTGTCTGAGAGGTATACCATTCTGCTGACAAAGCTCAGCGGTATGCACTTCATATCATTGACACATCTACTTATACATTTTTGAAACAGCAATGTTGCCAGTAAGAGAAATTTGTTTTGGAGGTGTTTTGCTACCTGCATATGAAACTTGTTCTAAAATGTCAGAATTGTTCTGACTTAGTACTAAGGCTTCTTATTTCTCAAATTTTTTCTTACTTTTTCTTATAGCTGGAAAAAGTTGAGCTGGTGAATAGAATTCCTCTAGTTCCACCTGTGAGTCCTAGATTGGGTGAGATTCGAAATATTTCTCTGAGGATTACTCCAGATATTGCAAATGGAGAAATAGGCTTTACTAGCAATCTTCCGATTATTCTTTCTGAGCCAGAAGATTCCGCTGCTGCAGTGGTAAGTAAACCTTTTGATATTGTCCCTTACTGTGGAAAATTTATTTGGAGAAAGCAAAGTTTGCTATATTCAGTGTAACATATGAAAGTTAATGTGAGGAAAATCCTTCCTCTAAGTTCTGCCTGATCCCAAATATTCCCTTGCTTTAAAAAAAAAAAAAAAAAAAAAGGCAAAAAAGTGCTTGTAAAACTAAGGTCTGAAATAATGTCTTAGTCATTATCAGAAAAGTGAGGTTGATCTCTGCTTTCTCTGTGAGCATCCAAAACCAGTTAGGTCTTGATGCTCACACAGAACAAAAGATGCTGCAGACAATTGTAATCTCTCTCACCAACTGCAAAGGTAGTAATGTAAAGTAGGACTGATACCAGTCCTAGATTTCATGGAAATGTCTGTGTATCTTACAAGTGACTGACTTATATGTGAACATATTTTTTGGCTTGCTAGGCATGTTTTCCAACAATTGTGCTTTTTAGGTTTCTGAGAACCCAAAGAAGCATTTTCAAAAGCGTTGCCATCCATACGAATGCCTTAGTACCAGCTGGAGGAACTTTTTTAAAAATGTTTTTTTCATACATTTTCACTTTTTTTCCTTGGCTGTCTTCACCGACATCTTCCCACAAATCCTGAATCAGATAGCTTGTTTCTCATTCTCAGATTAAAACTGCTAATTACCTTAAGCAGAGTACAGGTTGCACTGTACTGTAATAAACAGAGTAAAATTATGTAGTTTTATTTAAAATCTAGGTTGTGTCTCGAAGAGGTGGGCACTGATTAAATCAGTCACACAAGGCTTTTTGTGTTATGGTTGCTTAGTGATTTGTGATATAAATAATCTGTCATCTCCACTGTCTAAATATGTAACTGATAAATGGTTAAAAGGGTAAGATTCAGCATATATTTTCATTGATACACGATCTTTGATCTCATATCATATACATAGGTACGAGTGAAAAAAACAGGCTAAGCATTTTGGGGCTCATATTCAAATAGTAATTTGCAAGGGGGTAATTGTTTTTGCATCTACTTTTACAAGTCACAACAGATTCATGTGTTTCATAGGTTTCCATTGCATTGCATCGAGATGGGACTGATGGTCAAGCATCTGTGTTTTGGAGTTTGAAACCCTCTGGTGTCAACCAAAAGGCAGTAACACATGATGATATAAGTCCTTTTAATGGCTCCGTTGTTTTCTTATCTGGACAAAGTGATACTACAATCAACATTACTGTTAAAGCTGATGATATACCTGAAATGAATGAAACTGTATTATTAACTTTGGACAGGTATTGTACCCTAATCTCTATTCATATGTATCAGTTGTAATACTCAATTTATATATAATAAATTAGCACAGTATTAATTAGGAGGTATTGCCTGTATTGTGTTGATAAGTGCCTGAAGGAATATTAGGCCCTTGATTCAGACTGTGTATTCTGTATTCAGACTGTGGATTCTTCTTTCACTGGAGATCAATGTAAGAAACTCTGTTGTATTTATTATCTAATGATTTGATTTTGTTTATATTTTGGTGAAAATAATGTATGCTATTTAGAAAGTTCTTTCAGCTTTGATCTTTAGTTATAGCTCTTGGTTATAACCCATATCGTTTCAGAAAAGTAGTATTTAGTGAGATAATTGGGAAAACTATAATGAAGAGTAGAAAGCAATACATAACTGTCTCTCAGAAAAAGGTTTATAGCTAGGGTGTTGTTGCTGAATTAGATCAGCTTTTTATTTGTTTGATCTGCACGTTTAGTATTGCTTGCTCTTCATAATTCCATCAACTTCCATCACAACTCCTGGCTTCCAAAATAGCCCAGTGTGACCATTACCACACTCTTTGGCTACAAAGAGAGCAATGGTGTTTCTGAAGCATAGTGTTGTAGTCTCCCTTCTGCACGAGATCAGGATTATGGGATAATTAAGGCTGCAAGGGACCTCAGGAGATGCTATTATCTGCATGTGAGCACTGCTGAGAATACTTAAATTAGTTCACATCCAGGAGTGTATTCCCTGTTTGATTTACTAGCAGGAGAATCTTGGCTATGTCTTCTGTCCTGCTTCCAACAACTCAATTGTATATATAGTCTAGAAATACCACCACTTCTACTACCTCCTATTAGTCTACGGTAATTTTTCCGCTTTTTCTGGAAACATACTAATAGGGATCTGCCAGCAGCAACATCCGCATTGAACATCTACTACTTACACAGTCCTTACCTTATGCAGAAGTATTTCTGTCCTATATAGGAAGCGCAAACTAGCTCTTGGGAGCTTCAACACCAGATACCCACGATGATTACATACTAGCAAACCAGCAACCAGCTCCTGAAGCTGTTGCTGATCCTATTTCGGAATGCCTGTTTTTTGAACATCATTCTATCTCACAGGAAAGATGTTATTCCATTGCAGGATTGGCCTGCTTCTGGAGAAGCTGGCTGGTGGATGCATCCAGTGCAGAATGAGTTATTTTATTCTACCTTGGCTACTCACTACGCTGAAAAGACAATCCCGTTCAAGACAAAACCAAATGGAGACTATTGCAAGCAGTTCTCTGCTTTCTTGGTTCATCTCAAGGAATTAATTAGAGTCTCTGGCACAAAGGGGGAAGCTATGATTAGAAATGATGATGGAAGTTGTGACAAAGTTGTGTAAGGTGGCCAAAAAATGGGAGTGGAAGGGAAGGAAACAAATAGATAGAGGAGGTGGACCGCGTAAAAGGCTAACCTTTTAAGTTCTGACAGCTCTACGGGTGTGTGTAACTACAGCTGTCTGCCATTTATTCCGAGTAGTAACCCTAGGCTGTGCCTTGAAAATGATGGCTGCAGTGAGGATTGAACTGGCAGCT